ATTGCAAAGGCACAAAGGGCGATAGGACAGCGGAAATTGAAATATTTTTGGGCTTTTTGTAGACTCTAGGTAATGAACAAATATGAATCTAAGGCAAACGAGATTATACCTCGCGATAAACCTGAAATATCTGATACCAATTGATGGGTACAAGCCCGATCTTCCGAGAGGTAGCCGGTAAGTTCAATTTGTGGAGATCTCGACGTTGGCGATCCGGCTTCAAATCAAACGCGATTCGAACCCTGCAACCGTTACACCACTGCTCCGTTGGTTATCAACCAAGCACAACTTGATTGACCTCGCCAAGAAGGCTTTTCCTGCAAGCGAATCGAAGAGCACAAGCAAGAAGGTAAAACACGCAATCTGATATTGCAAATATGAATGACGCGAATATCAATAGAGGGTTCTAGAACTCGGTTCCAAAGGACTAATCGACACAGTGGAGGAGATCAAGAACGGAGGCCCTGGATCACTGTAAAAGGATTTGTCACCACAGTTACAATGAACGATTCGGTTTCTCGATGGAAAACTAAACTCTAAACAAAACCCAATTGTGTAGCAGCGGCGACGGCTGTGTTTATAGTCTAAGACTCGACCTAGGGTTGGGGACGGCCAGGGGTTGGGCGCCCACAACTTGGGCTTAAGGCCCGACACGATACATGCCCAAGTTGGCCCAAATAGGTGACGCAGCACCTTGCCATGGTCACACAGAATGATCCACGGACCTTCTGGAGCTGGGACCAGATCCAAAACGACGGCGTCGTCGTCCCCTTTCCAACGCATCCAAGAACGGCCCGTTTCGATGTCGTATGAGAAAGTTATGACCGAAACAGTGACGACGTGTCTGCTAAATCCGAGGGCGACGTGGCAGCTGAGTTGGGAACGAATTGCAACTTGGGGAAGACCATGGCGTCGGTGTGTCCAGCATGGCGATGTCCTCATCACAAACTTCACCAACAACCATTTCACGGCATAGCACACACTTTATACCAAACAATAGAACCAAAACATCAGGACGTTATTTAACTATGTTGCATTTTATAAATCGCCAAAAAGTGTACTTTCAACACAACTTCAAATTTTTGCTGATTCAACTAAAAGGGCTAATTTTTAATTTCTAATTTGATTTTTGAGCTTCCAAGAACACTAATTAACAACCTTTGCTTCCCAAACATTAATGTTGCATTTCCATCTATAAAACTTGTACTTCAATTTTTATTTAAGTACTAAATACAAGTTATGTTTTATTCTTGTTTATAGAAATCGCTTTTCGTGCTAAACAATTAAAACCATTTTTCTTATTTTCTTGTTAGAATTTTCATTATCGCCTTTGATTAAACTAACTCACTATACTCATAGATCTATTTCTCAGGCCATAATCTCAGTGCTTAGCGGAATCGTAACACCAGAGGTGTTACATGAAGTTCCTGCTGAACCGACCTGTTTTTCCTTCTTACTAGCTCAAACAGATGTGGGGCAAAATCCTTGAGGGCCTCGCCATCAAGCCAGCTATCATGCCAAAATTGAGCCTTGGTCCCGTCACCAATCGTGATCGTGGCTGAGGCTTTGAAGAGGAGTCGGTCGGTGTCATTGCAAGGCAGTTCGAACCCTGCCCAAGGTTTGGAGTCGTCGATCCAGCTTTGCCAAAGCCATCGGAGGCGAAGGACTCTCCCAAATTTCTCCAAGTCTGGCACCCCTCATCCCCCAATGTCTTTTGGCTTGGTCACCGTTGTCCAGTTGACAAGACAGTGCCCACCATTTGCATTTTCGTCGCCCTTCCAAAGAAAAGATCTCCTGATTTTATCAATTTTCTTCCTAGCCCATGCTGCAAGTGGAAACACTGTGAGATCATAAGTTGGCATAGATGAGAGCACAGAGGAGACAAGCGTCAATCATCCAGCCCTGTTCACCCATCTTCCTTTCCATCCGGGGAGTCTCTGGCTAATGTGTTCAATGAGCGGTTGCACATGAACCCTCTGGAGCTTCCTAGTGTGCAACTGCAGCCCTAGATATCGGTAGGGGAACGTGCTTTTGACACCATCAAAGGATGATAGTACCTGCTCTAGGTCAACCTCCTCGCATCTAATCGGGTGTATGGAGCTTTTTTTAAGGTTGATGTGTAGGCTTGAGGAGTTCCCGAACGCCTGCATGATTATTTTGATTGCTTCTAGATCCTCCTTTAGGGGGTTAATGAAGACGGCCATGTTATCCGCGTACATGGAGATTCTCCATTTAGCGGCTGTTGGAGGCAGCGAGGAGAGAATCCCCTCCTGAGTCGCTAGATCAAGTAGGCGCTAGAGAGGGTCCATTGCAAGGATGAAAAGCATGGGGGAGAGGGGGTCACCCTGGCGGACACCTCTGCCATGGTTGAAGCTTGATCCACGTTGGCCATTGAGTAATGCCGACGAGGTGGCCATGCGGAAAAGAATGGAGACCCACTCCCACCATCGAGGCCCGAATCCCAAGGCCTGCAACACCTCCAGAAGGTAGCTCCAATTTACCGTGTCAAAAGCCTTGTCAATATCGAGTTTTAGGAAAAGGACCGGCATCTTCTGCTTGTGTAGCTTCCTCACTGTGCTTTGCAGGTATAGGAAATTATCATGTATGCTCCTTTTTTTAATGAAGGCACTTTGTCAGTTTGAGACCATGGAGTCCAGCAAGGGCGCCAATCCGTTAGCTAGAAGTTTGGAAAATATCTTGGCGATGCTATGGATGAGGCTGATGGGCCTATAATATGTGACTCTAAGGGCGTCATTTTTTTTGGAAGTAGGACGATGTTTGCCGAGTTCAGCAGCTGAAAGCCTTGGGAGTTCATTGCAAAAAGGCTATTTATGGTGGCCATGATATCATCTTTGATGATCTCCCAGCAAGATTTGAAGAAGGCTCTGGTGAAACCATCAGGCCCAGGAGCTTTGTCTGACGGCATGGAGTCAATAGTGTCTTTGACCTCTTCCTGTGTGAAGGGGAGCTCCAATTCAGAGAGGTCTCGCAGGGCATAACCAAGGACATGCCAATCAAGGCTTATGGGTCTCGGTGTTGATGAGCCAATATGGTCTCTGAAGTAATCCCCGATCACTTTCTCCTTGTCCTCATGGGTGAACATCATCCCCTCATCTGTCTGCAAGCTGTGAATGTAATTTTTTCTCCGACGGGAGCTCGCATGAATGCGGAAGAATTTCGTGTTGGCGTCGCCGCATCGGATGTAGGTAAGCCTTGATCTTTGCTGAATTCTTGTTTTTTCAATGGCAGCCAATCCGGTGCTTCTGGCCTTGAGGCGTCGACGTAGCTCGTGTTCCTAATCCGTGAGCACTCTAGATTCTTGAGCGGCCTCAAGCTGTAGTAGGATTTCTTTGACTACAGCTAGCTGCAGTCTAGTGTCTCCGATCTTTTCTTTGCGCCACCGCTTGATAGATTTAGACACTCTAGATAATTTGATATGAAGGCGTTTCAGGGGCAGTGTCGAGTTGACCTGCTTTGTTCCAAGTGTCCTGGACCATCTCCTGGAAGCCCTGCATCTTGGTCCAAAAGTTTTCGAAGCGGAAGGACGAGTTACGCTGATGGTCAAGCTCTCCTTGCAGAAGTAGAGGGGTGTGGTCCGACATGAGAGAAGGAAGAGAGTAGAGGAAACAAGTTGGGAATAGCAGCTTCCATGCATGGGTGCAGAAGACCCTGTCAATTCGAGTTAGAGTTCAAGTGTCTTGTTCATTGCTCCAGGTGAAGCGCCGACCATTTAAACTTATTTCTTTGAGGCCTAAGTCATCAATCACCGCCTTGAAGGAGCCCATGAGCCGGCGATTTAGATTTGAGTTATTTTTGTCTTCCGCTTGGTATATTAAGTTGAAGTCCCCGAGGATGAGCCATCTGTCGTGGCTGGGAGGGTGGATGCCTCTGAGCTCCTGGAGAAACTGTAGTTTCGCTGCGTCCCCTTGCGGTCCAAACACCACCGTGATTTGCCATGGGAGTCTGTCTGCTCTCATTATGATTGTCGCAGTGATGGCATGTGTGGACAGGTGGACGTCTGAGATGTCAAAGAAGTCCTCATTGATGGCCAGCAGGATGCCACCTCTAGTTTGCTCGGCCGGCAGAGTAGCATAGGAGTTAGCAAATTTTGATCCTAATGTGCGCCTCACCACATTCTGATCCACAAGCTGCAGCTTAGGGGCTGTTCGGCCGGCTGGCCGGTGGCTGGCTGGCTGGGCAGCCCCCTCACGTGAACAGTGATTTCAGTCAGAATAGTATTTTCTTCTCACAACAATCAGCTGGAACAGTATTTTAGCTTATTTTTCAGTCCTACCGAACATGCTCTTAGTTTCTGGTAGGCAAACGATAGTGGAGCGAGTATCTTTCACAATCTCACTCACTGCATCCTTCCTAGCACCATCATTTAGTCCCCTGACATTCCAATTGAGAAGCTGACAGTTATGTTGTGCCATAAAAACAAGTGGAAAGACCCACACAGGAAACCATAATAAAGCATACTGTATGCACCAGTGAATCAGTGATCGACTCGCGACAAGTGACGAGCACTAGTTTTTCGGTTGAATCCTGAACACAAAGCACCATGGCTGGTTTTCATGTGAGCTTCAGCAGAACGAATACGATGTACCATTGTGAGTGTGTGACTTCTGACTTTCTGAGTGAGCAAGAAGCCTCGTATAAACGACGGCTGAGAGGGAGAGTTCATGGGATGCAGACTGCGCTGCCAATGTCGCGTCGGCCTTTACTCCGCGTGGCTCCAACGGTGCGCAAATGGGCTCACGCCGGTCGCACTCGTTCCGGTGGGGGCGCCACGCCCCGCGCGGCCGCGTCCTCCTCCCGCACACGCCCATTAATCCCTCACGCACCGGGCCGTTGCACCATCAACTCCCTCCCCTCCAAGCCATTACTGCTACATACACGGATACACCTACGTGCCCTGTGCCGAGGGCCGAGGCCGAGCCGCTCCCGGCGCCCACGTTACCTGCACTCGCCGCTTGCTTCCCTCGGGCTCGAGCACTGCAATGGCTGCTTTGCGCGTGCTCCTCTTGACACTGGCGATCGCCGCGAGCTGCGTCTCCGCCTCCGCCCCTGACCCGAGCCCCGACGCCGTCGCGCTGCTCGCATTCAAGTCGGTGTGCTCCGACCGCGCCGAGGCGCTCGTCTCATGGACGGAGTCCTCCGACCCCTGTGCCGCCAAGTGGCGTGGCGTCACCTGCCAGCGGCCGTCGTCGCTCACCTCCCCGCTCCGCGTGCGTCGCATCGTCCTCGAAGGCCTCCAGCTCAGCGGGCACGCCGCGGCGCTGGAGCTGCTCGCGGATCTCCCCGTTCTCTCGTCCCTTAGCCTCAAGAACAACACCTTCACGGGCGCACTCCACGGCGTCGACTTCTCCCGCCTAGCGCCGCACCTCAAGCTTCTCTACCTCTCCGGCAACGGCTTCTCCGGCAGGTTCCCCGAGTCCGTCCTGCGCCTTCGCCACCTGCGCCGTCTCGACCTTTCGGGAAACCACCTCGCGGGCACGATCCCGCCGGAGATCGGGCACTGCCTCCGTGCTCTCCTGACGCTGAACATTCAGCGGAATTCGTTCGTCGGGTTCGTGCCGGACTCGCTGGACGCAATGCCCAAGCTCGCGGAGCTCAACGTCTCCGGCAACCACCTCGAGGGGCGGATCCCGAACCGCCTCGCGGCTGCCTTTCCCGCGTCGTCGTTCGACGGCAATCCGGGCCTCTGTGGCGCGCCACTGGCCCGCCGGTGCAATCAACCGCAGCAAATCGTGTATAACAACGGCGGCGGCGAGGCATCGAACGGATCGATGACGACGGGGAGGGGGAATAAGATCCATGACCGGTGGATGGTCGTGATGATCATGTCAGCGGTGGGCGCCGCGGTCGCGTCGTTGGTCGCGGCGGCGCTGTGCGCCGTGCTTCTACTGAAGAACAGGAAGCCGGCGAGACGGCCCCGCGCCGGCTCTACGTCCGTCAACTCGACGGTGGCACGGGAGGAGACGGTGCGCTTCGACGGGTGCTGCGTGGAGTTCGACGTGGCCACGCTCATGCAGGGCGCCGCAGAGATGCTGGGGAAAGGAGCAACGGCGACGACGTACCGTGTGGTCATGGGAGGCAACGTCGACGCGAGCGACGCCGGCGTCGAGGAGGCCCTCGGAGAGGTGGTGGTGGTGAAGAGGATGAGGAGGAGGGACGGCGCGTCGAGGGAGGACGAGAGGCGGCGGAGGGAGCTGGCCAGGGAGATGGGCACGTGGCGGCACGCCAACGTCGTCGGCCTGCGCGCGTTCTATGCGTCCACGGAGGAGCTGCTCCTCGTCTTCGATTACATGCCCAGCGGCAGCCTCCATAGCCTCTTGCACGGTGAGCAGCGCGCCTCATTTCTCGTCGCACGTATATAAAATTCGGACGTGTCATCTGTCAGGTGATGTCTTCTGACGTGTGCACAAAACTGGTGCTCTTCTGGACAGAGAACCGTGGCCCGGCAAGAGTTCCTCTGGGCTGGCAGACCAGGCTGAAGCTGGCGCAGGACGCGGCGCACGGTCTCGCCTACCTCCACCGTTTGTCCGGCGGCAATCTCTCCCACCGGCACCTCACTTCCTCGAACATCCTCGTCGACGGCAGCGGCAACGCGCGCGTCTCCGACTTCGCTCTCCTCCAGCTGCTCGCGCCGGCGCCGCCTGGGGAGGCCCTGCAGAAGCAGGACGTGCACGGTTTCGGCGTCATCCTGCTGGAGCTCCTGACAGGGCGCCGGTCGCCCGAGGACGGCAGCGCGGACCTGCCGCAGTGGGCGCGGACCGTGGTGCGGGAGGAGCGGACGTCCGAGGTGTTCGACGTGGAGCTGCCGCGGACCAAGGGCGCCGAGGACGAGATGGTGGCGCTCCTACAGGTGGCGCTGCTCTGCGTCGCCGACAACCCGAGGGAGCGGCCCAGGATGGCTGTGGTGGCCAAGATGATCGAGGACATCAGGGACAGGGCGAGCAAGCGGAGCAACAAGTACTCCGCGTCTCCGTCGCAAGCGGGGCACTCGTGCGAGTCCTCTCCCTGCGTGTCCGAGGACACCACCAGGTCTACTCCTGCCTCAAGCTCTTGACGCGGTTGAATCTTCTGGTGAGTAACAGCATAGCATTGTTGACCTATGTCGTGAGAAAAACAATGTACAACTACAATCAGGGTAGTGATGAGCACTAGAACAGCGTGGAAACGCCGTTAGCATCAAACAGGTGTTGTACCTTATTGAGATCTAAAAAAAGCAAATGGGCTCTGTTAGCTTGACATGGTACTGTCGGGCGTCCGGCCACTTGCCTTTCGTTTACTGTATCCGCTTACTGCAACTTTTGTTAGACAAGAGGAATAAAAGAAACACAAGAACAGAAGCACCATCAAGTTCTCCAAAAGCGACCCGTTCTACGAAAATAACATAAAAAAAAGGAGAAAGTGGCCGGATGGCACTCCATCATTCTAAATTATAAGGCGTTTTATCATTTTTTACATACATTATGTCGGGTTCACAAATCCGGGGTCCCTCGGAGACCGGCTTCCACGCCAGGGCTCGGCCCAAGAAAACAGCATGTTGTTCATGGACCGGCCCGAAGGTCTAAGAATACGACGGGCCGGAAGGACAGTCCGGTCGCCGACCGGAAGGTCTGCTCGAAAGAACGAACGCCCGCTCATCAACTTCTTCGGCCCACCTCCGACCGGAGCGCTCGCCCCAGGCACCGGCCACCTCCGGGCAGTCTCTCCGATCGAAAGGCCTGGGCCAAAACGCTGCTTCCTACTCCGACCCCGCGATTTCGACCGGGGACCCGTAGGAAGCCTACTTACCGCTCTTCTCTGACTGGCGCGGTTAGGACCGACCGGGGGCGTCCGCTCGAAAGGGACCAGGGGCGAACGGAGAAGGCAGCGCACAAAGTCAAACCACGATACCGGGACCATACCCTGCACACCTGCGGGAACAGTGCTCCTCAACCGCCCTGACACAAACATTATTGTAGGCGCCGACATTTGTATCTACAGTATTGTAGGCGCCATTGGGCTCCCATACGGCAAAAAGCCGCCCGCATACCTCTGGGCATCGGCAGTGGGCGCCAGGGTTCGCCATACCTGGTACACGTGGTGGGGCTCCTCACATACCAATAGTATTTTACAGGTACCGACATCCACCCTTCCTGAAGAAGCCAACGCAACCTCCCATATGCACCTGACATTCTACAGTGACGTCAACAGTTTGTGGGTGCCTACCATCCGCTGTCCCCGTCGGCATGGGCAACAAGGCTTAGTAACATCCGTACTCTCCCCCTCTCACCTGTAAAGCCATCACCTTCATCTATAAAAGGGAATGCGCTCCCTCCAACGAGGAGGATCGATTTTCCAGAGGTCGACTTCTCCAAGTTAAGATTCACTAGATCGATAGTTCGCAACCCCTCAAGCACACGCTTGAACACCTAGTTCATAGCGGAGTTCCGGTCGCCCTTGGCCTTTCCGGTCGGACCCGACCGGGCCTCTCATACACCCCACCTTTCTCCTTCTCGTTTGTAACCCCACTACGGACTTCGAGCACCTAGGCTCAGGAATAAATTCACCGACCGACCCACACTGGACGTAGGGCACATTGCCCGAACCAGTATATATCCTGTGTCATTGAGTGCTAGGCCACCTCCGATCCCAACGTACAGCAAAACTATAAATATTTACTAGTTGGTCACTTTCTGTACCGACAGTTGGCGCCGGCCGTGGAGAAGACAATGTACGTTCAACACTTTTTGGTCATCGGATGGCTCATTTTTTCACCACCCCCACCGTGGCGGGCTCGGGCGATACGATTCGCTTCGGCTCGCTGGAATATCCCGCACTCTCGCCTGCGGGGAGGCGGGTTCCACCCTTTTTCGAGCCATCCCAGGCCTTCCTCTTCGGAAGCCTAGACTTCATCGCCGACCAGCTCGGCGTACTCCACCTCCGCGAGGAGACTCGTGACCCAGCACCTGTCGAAGAGACGTCCTCCATCGACTCCGGGACGCGCAACCTCAACGGCGCGGCATCTGCGCTTCATTCCGAGTAAACTCTATCCTCAAACCCCGCAGTAAGTAATATACATGTCGTTCTTTACTTACTACATTCTATCTTCCGCCAAATACCCGGAGGGCTGCCGTTGTCCCCGTCGCGGCCACCATACGACTGGTTCCCCTACGACCTCATGTCTCCCGTAGACACGTACGCCCGGGGGCTCCGAAAGATTATGGCGCCGCCTCCTCTTATGTCTGAGTTCGTGGGGATGGCGAGCTACAGTCCCACCTGCTTCCTCGACATCATGGACGACGATGTCGGGAGTGACGGCTCCAGCATCGGCGACGTAGCACCCAGCCACCGTCCGTCCCAGGAGTGCGCTATGATGGACGCTCCGGGACAGCCGCTAGGGGCAACGGAGTCCTCATGGACTGACGCCCCTCCGGGCCCTCATACGGAGACCTCCGAGCTCACACGTGAGCACGAGGAGGAACTACGACGATAGTGGCCGCATCAGCCACCAACTGCGCCAGCGCGCTCGGAGCGCTACGCTGTGCCCCGGGCACGCGGACAGGCGAACAGCGCTCGGGGTCGCGCCCGTCAGGTCCAGCGCAACACCCTGGATAGAGGGACCGATCCCCCACAGTTCGCTCGGGCCAGTCAGAACATTGCCACCGCAACAATGCTCCTGCGCGGCCTGTCCGAGCCGAACGACCCTCGCGAACAGGTGATTCACCGGAACCTCGGGGCACTGGTGGAGACTGCAGCCGCTCAACAAGCGGAATGCTCCGTGTCGCGACGCCGACTCGCGACCTCGCTCCCCGTCCGAGGAATAGGGACGTAGCAGATGGGGCACTACACCCTGTCACCGCAACAACCGCTGAGCACGACACATGAGGCCGCAGCGGAGCCTCATCTTGACCTGATGACCGCTCCACACCAACCGCCTATCTACGCGTGGCTTGGACCGAACCGAGGCACATGCAGTGGCGACCGGAGTCCCAGCACTGACGGCCCGGGACCACCGACCTTTGCCCAACTCCCCCAGCAAGCTGTTCTTACCGCGCTCCAACGGAGGCCACGGCAAAGGTAAGGCCAAGCGCCATGATCAAGACTTGGGCCCCTCCACGCAGAGGGGAAAAAAGAACAGAAAGGATCGCCGCCGACCGGCTAACTCCGCGTCGGTCGCCGCGGCCGATCACCTGGGCACGCAGCCCCAGCAGGACTAATCGGGACACTTCCACGAGCTCATGGATAACCCGTGCACCAACCACAACTATCCTGTCAACCATCTCTACAAGGACTGCTAGCTCCTCAAGCGCCTGCTGAGGTAGACTGGCAGGCCAAGGAACGAAAAAGGCAACGGGTACGTACCCGATGGGTACTGGCCACCCGTACCCGTACCCGTCAGATCAAAATCTTACCCGTCGGGTTACCCGTACCCGCAGGCGGGTAGAAAATTCATTCCATACCCGCACCCGACGGGTAATTCTTACCCGACGGGTAATTCTTACCCGACAATATACCCGAGTTCACACACCAAAATATAATAGCTTCCAAACAAAACAAATCAACAATAGAGCGACCAAAACAGAAATATATCCAGGTCAAGCTAGTTGAAATAGATCATATGCTTCATTGGTTCATTCCAAACCAAACTACAAATTAAATGTGTGATTAAAAGTAGCGCGCAGCACACACCAGCCTTCCCACTTTTCAAGTTCACCACCGGTTCCAACAGTTAAAGCACATACTAAATATTACAAGTTCACATGGATTCATCTACCATGAATTAAAGAGAGAGACCACACAGGTTACAAGTTCACAAATGCAATTCTTGATAAGACATCAAAAGGAAGCACATGCACGTCATCCAATTCTTGCATCATTTGTCTTGTTCCTGTGATCAAAAGGGCGCCATCTCATGGCCAGTTCATTTGTCCTCAGATGGTGAGTTCCTACATTAGCATAAACATGTCACAACTTAGCTATCTATTATCACATTCACAAAGAAGCTAAAAATAGACACATTTGAAGAATGGCAAATCACCTGAAGCCCCTCTTGTATGTCCACGAAGACATGACCGGAAGGTTGCTTGGCTGCTTGTTCTTCTCATCAACTAGCAAACATAAGTGAGCAAATGAGTTGGCTTGCATGAATATCAGTAAATATATGCAGAAATTAATAGCAAGCTAATAGACATAGGAGCATTGTTAAATATACCTTTATACTTGTTTCTCAGCCAATCTTGAGAGCACATTAGGGCCTCTATCATCTTGGTAGTGAGCCTGCTACGATGCTCACTTAAAACCCTACCACTAGTGCTAAAAGCTGATTCTGAGGCTACAGTTGTAACAGGAATGGCAAATATGTCCCTAGCAATCTTCCTCAAAGTTGGGAACCGAGTTCCAGCCACCTTCCACCAATCTAAAACTCTGAAATTCTTAGTATTCATGTCCAATAGCTCTTCATCCAAGTAGCGATCCAACTCAGTCTTGAATCCCATTGTTGTTGGCCGTCTACTAGCAACACGAGCCATCATGGAAGATAAGAAATCATCACTTTGTCCTGCTGTAGGTGCTGCTGCAGGGACACTGTTTCCCACATCATCTTCCCCATGGTACTCAAGCATCAAATCAGCCAACAAATTCTTCACTTCCTTAACCCTATCCTCGCACTCCCAACCAGTTGTCCCAAGCAAATCCTCAAAACAAATCAGCAGCACTGTGGTTTTAAATCTAGGATCTAGAATAGTTGCAATGCCCATGAACCCTTGAATATCAGTCCAATATTTGTCAAACTTGGCTACCATATTGGCTGACATGGCTTGCACTAAAGGGTTTCCACAAGTTGACCACTCTCTAATCTCCTTTCTAACTTCAGCAATTTTAGTGAAATACATGTTAGCTGTTACATAATCTGTCCCAGAAAACATTTTAGTGATGTCATTGAACAATTTTAGCCTCCCTACAACATCCTCAGCAAATTTCCACTCATCCTCAGATGGCAAGCAAGTGTACAGCCTATCAACACGGCTTGCCCTAATGAAAGCAGACTTGTATGGTAATGCATGACTAAGCATATTAAAA